TTCAGTACTTCTGAAAATATCACGAAGGAGAATAACTATGAAAAAATGAGAATTTTTATATGAACCTTGTTTTTCACAAAATATTTTATATTATCATTTACCTAATAGTCATGATATAATTTTCAAAATAATTTGGTTCTTTTCGTACTGTTCATAGATATTTAAATTGTACACATTTTTTAACTTTTTCAAATTTTATATAGTAAAAGTTTTTTCACTTTTATAAGTGAATAAAATAACCTAAAAAATTCATTACTAGATTTCTTTTAAGTAGGTAATTCTTCAGCAAATAAAAATGATCAAAAATACAATGTACAGCCACATTTTTTTCTTTTGTAAGTTTAATTTATACTTTAAAAATCCATAAAATCACGAACATTTAAAAATTATTTTGTAATTAAAAATTTCTAGAGTTTTTAACTTTATTTTCTATAGTTTAAAAAAGTTATACTTCATATTTTATTTTTCAGTGATTTAAGTTTACATTTTATCAACATAAAGTATTTAAATAAATAATAACTATTTATTCTTAACCGTATTTTATTGTTTTGTAATTATTCAAAAAATATTTATAATTGTAAAAATTTGAAACGTTTCTTTATTTTTGAAATCATAATTTCATATTTTATTGACATTTTAAAATGTTTAGACTAATTCTACACAAATTATAAGAATACGAAATGATGAGTTTTTTTCAATGTTATAATAAAAAAAATAGACTGATTAAAAGATTGATAATTTAATAACGACTCTATTTAAGTTATTTTATAGAAATTTAAAAATATTTAAAATTTTCTCACACGATATTTATTTTTTTTTTCGTTGATCTTTAAATACAAAACTCTGCAGCAAAGGCCATTAATTAAACTATTAAATACTAATTACAGTTTTTATAACTTTTTTTATGAAGTTTACATTATATTATATTATCTTAGCAGTTACAATTACAATTACAATTATATTTTGTTTATAAGATTGGTTAGTTTTAGGAAGGTTATAATTTTAATATTTTGATCGGGATTTGATCCGAAGATTTCATCGAGTGTTTCCGTCAAGTTGAGATTTGTACGCTCCTGTTGATAAATATGACATTTTCTTATATATCTTCTATATGTTTGACTGTGATCTGTGTATTGCAAGTTTCGCAGATAGGTGTTCATCGTTTGACATAAGGAACCCGTGAGTTATCCTGGTGTGTACAATTCATTGACGATTTATAGTTGTTTCGTATTTTCGATTTAGGTTAAGGTTACACGATATTTTGGTTTTTAATAATAACTGTGTCATTACAAATTTTTAGGAAATTTAAACAAATTGAAATATTTTTAATTATTTTTTTTGTAATTCAAAAATATTTTTCATGGGACTTGAAACTTGCGTATCTAAGTATTAAACATTTATATACATTTATAAATATTATGTTTTTTATCATATTTTACTTTACACAATAGCATTTTCTAAATAGTTAGTTTAATTTTAACCTTTTTTATTGCTATCTATATGTATACTTCGATCTACTTACGTGATTCAACGGTTCAATCGCTTTTTTTTCAATCGAATTAAAATTTAGAATATTCATTACAATTATCTAACCAATGACGAGGTTTACTTTTTACCTTTGATATTTTTTTTTTAAATATTATTAAAATAATAGAAGTTTAATTAAATGAAACTAAAAAAATATAAAACTATGTACGAAAAAAAAAATGTTTAATAACTTTATTTAATATAAAAATTATTATTGCCCTTAATAGTTTATTTTATAGATCTATTAAAATAATGTTTAAATTACAAATTTTGGAGTAAAGATAATCCTTGTACATTATATTATTAAAATTGAAATGTAACACGATATAAAATAAAAAATTAAGCTTCATATGCAATTGTATTTAAAGTAGGTACATACATTATTATTTTTTTTAAATTTAGTAGGAATAATACGTTCACAAAAATAATCCTTTAATGGAGGTTTCAAATTTCTATAACTTTACTAAAAACTTCATGTTATAATAAAAATATAAATCTATTGAAAAATACATTGTAAAAAGTACATTTACATATTCAGACATTTGTGTATATAAAATAACTTTGAAAAAGAAATTTGATTTTAATTTTAAAGCTATTTTTTGATTATATACGAAACAAAAATAATGTGTGAATGATAAAAAGTAATTTTTATTATTTAAATCTCGTTTTCAACAAGTTATTTACTTATAAATTTACAGATGATCATGTATTTGAAAAATGTTAATATTACATAATGTTATTATGCGATTAACTTTCCGACTGTCACAATTTATACACGTATGTATAAAATATAAAAACCCTGAAAATATTAAATTACGATGATTGCTAAAAACTATTTTTTATATAAATATTTAAACAAAATATTTTGCAAATCAATTCCATCCTGTACCTATTTATTCAAATAGTAAAAATAACAAAAAAGTTATATTTATGTATGTTCATAATTTTTTTAGCACAATGTTAGAACATAAATTAAAATTAAACTTACATAAGTATAAATATAGCTTACTTACAAATAATTGTTAATTTTTTTATTTAAATTTACTGAAGAAATTATCAATACTTAAATTATTTAATATATTGAAATATTATTATTGCACAATGAAAACGTACTAAAAATTAACCTTTTAATATTACTGGATAAAAACAGTAGTCAAGGATTTAGAAAAAAAATTTACACAGATTTATTTTTAAGTTACACTCTTTTTATAGTGATTCGTGTATGATAAAGTGTACAAAATTATTTTATTAATTGGCTTTTCAAATTTATAAATAATGTTAGTATTTATTTATAATAACAAAAAGTATAAAATTGAATGTCATGGGTACGTGGAATTTTATTGCTTTGTTAATGCAATAAATAATCGTTTCAATGATTCATTTGTATATTTTGAAAATTTTTTACTTATAAACATAAATCATAAGTTTCAAATCTTATATCGTTCCATTTAACCTGATACTTTCAACTATTTTCTTTTGAATGATTTACGCATATTTAACTTAGAACAAGTGACTTATATAACCAACATCATTTTATTTAATTTTTTTAGAATGTAGATTTGCTCATTTTCCTATCCTAGATGTGTATAGTTCAGAACACAACCTATATAATTATATCTTTTATGAAATTAATGTTATTGTACAGAGCAATGATTTACTAGGATTGTTAAAATTCGTTGCCTGTGGCACATAAGAGATTACCTTCTTGTGGTGTCTAGTGAACGATATCGGGGTTAAGTTTAAAAGTCAAAAAGATAATAAAAATATCGTACATTTTTAAACTACATGACCTTTGTATATAGGAGTTAATTATTTTAGGTTTTAGACAATGTTGCATACAAATACAAAATACCATTAAATATAACAAAGAATACAAAAGGAAGATTTTAAAACTATAAATATTTTCCTTAAATTGAAAACCATAAATTATTCTTATTATATTTTTGCAATACGCATAGTTATAAACTATGATTAATAATATACTCGTACGATATTAAACAATTAGTGGTTCATATTGTTAACTATATTGAAGTAGATACGTTATAAACATTGCATTTTTTTATAGTAATTGACTTTTTTTATGAATACTTTCACTGAAAAATAGTCCAAAATTGACTACGAAAATATAATTTTGTTAAAGAAAAAAAAAACATATCAGCCTAAATATATCTTAAATTTGTTAATATCATATAGTATATTAAATTTAAAACAAAAATAAAAAAAATATGAATTACATTAGACTACCAACATTTTTTACTGTTTATAGGAGTTTTAAATTTTTGTAAAATATATATTTCTTAATCATATAGGTTAAGTAGTAATTTTTGTATGAAAGTTAAATAAATCCTTTCTACAATATAGTCATAGATTTTCTTTGGAATTCCTGGGATTTATCAACTAAGGAAAGAGTAGTACAAGATAACTTTACCATAGAGTTTTTCTTGTTTTAGAAATTTAAAAACAATTTCCATTATAATATTTTTTAACTATAACTTACTATATAACAGGATTCAATTTAATTGTATCTTTTCACTATCGATATTTATTTTTTATAAATACCTATTCCAAAGTTCAAGAAATGTATTACCAAAACTATCACATAATACCTCATGTAAAATAACAAAGATATGATTCGGACGATTCAGTTTAGTTTATTTTGTCTAGATAGATCGTGTAATATGTTAACATGTTGGCGATATGAAAAAATGAATAAAAATAGATCATAAAATATAGAAAAATAAAAATTATTTTTTATTTTTTATAATTTAATTTATTAATTTCAAACTATCAAAAACTAAAATATATTATAATATGTACAAACTAATTAATAGTTAGCCTTTCAAAACAAGCTATGTATTTAATATAATGTGTTTGGATTTTTTGTGTGACATAAAAAAAAAAATACGTATATAATTTAATCTATCTAAGTGTTGTATCATCATATTTTCTTTACACCATATAATGGAATGTGGGTATTGATACAAATACATACAAAAATTTGTGTGGAAATCGTTAGTAGTTTTAAGGTATTTACACATAAACTATGTTAAAAATCGACCAGTTGTGGCGCCGATATGATGGCCGAGAGTTTTGTGTCCCCGACCTTTCAAAAACTATATAAAATCATTCTCGAGTCTTCCCGAGAATGAATCACACATACACATACATACACACACAAACTCCGATGACTAGGTCATGTTATCATAATGTTACCAAGGCCGCTGGTTCTCAAAAAATAAAAAATAAAATAAAATAAATAAATAATAATAAAATCTATTGGTAAAAAATTGTTTAAAAAACGCTTAGGAATTTATATAACATATTGTAGTATATACCATACATTGCGATCGAGCAGTGGTAGGAAATTTATAACCGATCATCATACCACGGCTCCCTCCATCATGTCATTGACCACTTTTACACCTACGTAGCTTATTCCTCTTAATGCCTGTATAAATACCTGGGTCTGCAGCTACCGACCGATTCAACACATGCATTTTTGTCACAAGACTTGAGTGAAAATACATCTACATACGATCTTCATTCCAAACAAATCGTACACCGTGTCCGGCATCGTCATTTACGGGCATTGTTTTGGACAACAACAGAACATTGATTTTTATCGGTTTTCTAGAAAACCGTTTTTGTCATAAGACAGTGTATCCATTCATTTACCCTATACCAGAATAACCACAAGTAAGTACTATGATATAGATATTATACATACTTATACTATAATTCATAATTTAAGTGCTAAATATGTATGGTAAATATTATAGACACAATGCAATAAGATAAGAAAAAAAATATTTATATACGTATATATAACACATATCAAATACATAATATATTATGTATATATATATATATATATAGTATTAAAAATAAAAAATAAAAATGATATTAATAAAATAAATCAGTTATATTGTATTAATTGATTGTTTTAATCATTTTATTCTTTAATATTTAATTTTATAATATTAATATTCATCAATTTATATGTAAATAATGGAAAATAATTTCATCCACGTTTACAGTTTACTCTGAAAAACAGGTAAGGTTAAAAAGTAAAGTTAATAGTTATACATTTTAGAACTTTAATGAAATGTGTTTTTATGTTATGTATAGTTTTAAATTATGTGTTCTATGAAAGAATTAAAACTTACAAGTGTAACTGTGTTGAAAATAGATTAAAAATATATTCTTAAACAAAAAAAAATTAAAAGTTTTTTTTTTAAATCGTCTGAATATTGTCATACACAATAGTTACGATAACACGCGGTTATGTTCACATGATTTATCTTTTTATTTATCAATTATTTGTTTTGTTAGATATTTTTCATTTTTTGGTTGAGTTTCTAACAATTTGTATACATACGAAATGGAAAAATCAGTTGTGACACAAACTATGATAAAATTAGTTTAAAAAAACTTCTAATCTCGTGGGACTGCGGTAGAAAACTATAGCAGTACTTCCATTGGGTTTTGTTTCTGTGAAAATTCTCAGGAAACATTTGTATAAAAACTGAAATCTGATTTCCTATTTATTTATACGTCAATAAATGTAAACATTCTATTACTTCAGATACAACAAATGGTTGTATGTTATTCTTGGACAGTTTTTTATTTATTTATTATTATTAATGTGTAGATAAATTTATTATTCCAATAAAAACCTACTTTTGCCATTAGAGACGTTAAAAAACCTAAGCATTACGTTCTTATTTTATTTTTATTAGCATGTGTGTAACTGTCAAAAAAAAAAAAAAAAATTTCAGGTAGCGATTCGTAGTAAACTATTTTTAACGTTCAATACCTCGTAACAGTTCGCGATGTTCTTTCAATATATACCGCACATTTTTTTGAGAACTGTACAATTTTTACTCGTTACAAAAATATATCGTGTTTATAAATCCTCATTTTCTCCGTAAATTTACGTTTTTCAACGCAAATAAGTTCTCGCATAAAATTTATTTTTTTAATTCCTGGATTTTCAAAAAAAATAAATATTTTTGGTACATTTTTTTTATTGATGATAAATAGAACATTAATTATGTTTCTAAAAGCGGATTTTTATCATTTTTTTTTCCAAAATGTTTATTTAATAATTTTTTTTTGCGTAGAAAATAAATTAAAAATGGGCTTTATAGTAGGCTAATAAAAAGGTAATAATATTATAATTAGGTCAAATTATAAAATACAATAATATAATTTTATTTTCTTAGAGATTATTACAAGTTATTTGATAGGTTATGATCATGTCTCTACTATCTACCTTATTTTATTAATAGAATAATATTATTTAATATAAAATACTGTATCAGATATCATGGTTATCTGATTTGATTGATTATGTCTATTGGATAATCTTAATCTAACTATAAAACACGTTTTATTATATTTTATCTTTATTTTAGCTTCACCTATAAGACTATCAGAAAATTATATTATTGTAACTGTTGTTTGTTTTTTTTTGTTTTTGCAAGTACCTAAATAATAGTAATATATAAAGGTGATTGTAAACTGTCTAAATTGCGTGACAGTATGAGTAGTATGATATAAAATTATCATCATAAAATATATATACTTTTTATTTATTTAACATTGGAGACTTGTTTAAAAATCTTTTAGGTTCCAATTATCTGATAGTAATTAAAAAGCATTACATTTTAGATTTTTTTTTTTGTTTTTCAAATGTTGAATAATTTTCTAATGTTTTTTATGCATATCAATTACACAACGATCCAAAGGTATAATTTATTTACAATTTTTACATACTTTAATTGAAGTAGGTAGTAAAGAAGGATTAAAATCAAAAAAATATTTCTATTTTTTTTAAATATTTATTATTATTAAATATTATTTTTTAAGTATTAATGAAATAAATTGCAAATATTACATGAATGGAATTACTTTTATTTATAGAAATATACGTTATACATCTGAAAAACCGGAAATAATATTATAAAACTAAAATATTCTTAGTTAATTATGCTTTGGAATATTAACTCGTAAAATCGTAAAGCATAATTTATTGAATCCTAGTGTAATCATAAAAATCAGTATCACTTGAAGGCACGCATCAAGTTATATTTGTAAAAATATATATTTTCTTTTTTTTTTTTGTTTGATTGTTAAATTATTTAAAAATATTTCACCATGATTTACACAATATCACAATATTTTTAAATCTTTTTTTGTTGTTGTTATAGTTCAATAATATAGACCTATTCTTATTAATTATTGAATTAATAATGTTAGAATTTACAATTACTTGTTAATGTATCGAAAACATATCAGAATTTTTAATGTTGACGAGTATTTTTTTCTTCGTGTACCATTATCGTCTAAGTGGGCTTTTTCTGAAGATAAAATAGAGGGTTACATATTATTTAAACTAACGGTAGAGTGTATTTTTTTTTTATTTTTTTTTTATATATAGGTACATTTTCGAAAATTACCATAGTAAAGTACAACTTATGTTAAACTTTTAATCATTAAAACGCGAAACTTTTAAAACTTATTCCTTTACACGAATAAAAACGAAAAATCAAAGTAGTTGTTATGTTAATAAAACAGTGTATGTATAAATGCATTATTATAAAAACATTTTTTCAGATATACTCGTAAAACATCAAAATAGTTTAATCATTAACCTTACTATAAACTTTTAAACATGTTAATGCATGCCAAAATTATCCTTAAAATGTATATTATATTTATCATTATCCTATTCGTAATATTATTAAAATATTTATCTGAATTTACAACACTTACAAATTTGTTTTCTTGTTTTACGTTTGATATTTCATCGATAACTCATAATAAAATATGTTTTAATACACAATAACATAATTTACTCTGTATATAATATACATGTAAAATGGCAATCACGAAAAAAAATTGTTTCATTTTATTTAAACTTATGTATTAATTAAATTTTAAACTATATATATAGTATAATAATTTATTCTTAAAATTTGCATATTATGTGACAATTTAATTAATAAAATAATTTTAAGATAGTATTTCAACTATGGACAATAATGCTTTATATTCAGCATTTAAAATTTTTTGATTTTACATATTAAAACGATCGATAAATAATAATTTTAATTGATCGAAATCTTGAGTTTCAATATAATGCACAATATAAACACATATTCGTAATCAGACATAGTCTAGAGAAGCAGAGTTTATAAATAAATAATATTCTCTCTAAATTATAAGTCATATCTATTAACCCGGAGTAATAATTTATAGACAAATCTCAGTATATGTACCTATCTGATATTTACGTTAAATGCATTTTCCATGTTAAATAATATTATATTTTTATATTTATACTTTTTCGAACAACATATCGCATAAGATATTAGTTACTGAAATGTAATTAGATAATTCTATTAAATTAAGTTTTAAAAACAAATGTTTGATATCAACGAACATCACGTAAATAAATAAACGTTGAGACTACCACAAATAAGTTTTATAAATTAAATTAGCTAATAAAATAATACTTATTTATTTAATTCAAATAAATAATATTTTTTGTGAGAACTTATCATTCCCAACGATCTTAGTTATAGTAATTAATTTTGAAGTTTTTTTTTTTTTAAATTTTTTCATTTGCGAATAGTGCATTATACATTTATCCATCCAAAATATTACAGCAGAAAAAAATACTCATTAAAATCTTTTCTTTGCGTCATCACTATTATGATGTTAAATATTTTCTTTTGATCGGCACTCACTTATCGTTTGATTGATTATACCAGTAATGGTTTTTTTAAAATCCTTTTTAATTAAATAAAAATTTCTTATTAAAATCCTTAAATATGCTAGAGTAAGATTTTTTTTTCAATTTTGTACCTATTAATTTAACTTTATCATAAATATTTTAAAATATATATATTTAGGACACTATTTACTTAAATCACTGGATTTCAATAATATTTTCAAAGATAATGTATTAATAGCTTATGTCTATTCATGATAAGTTAATATAAATCCCTATGAATTATAAATTATTAATAATAGAGTAGTTATACGTATAACAGTTTCAAAATAACAATCAATGTCTATCAAGTATAAACGTAATAATTGATATATTTTTCTTTTGTGATTTACGGTATATTATATAAAAGTTAGTTTTTTTTTGTTAACATATATTCACCATTATAGGTTGTATGAAATACCTGTTATTATACGTATTTAATTAAACGATAAATCAAAATCGGGGATGGAAACCATGTTGGAATTTTTAGAATTGCATCGATTAGTGCTATTACTATAAACCCCTATTGTATAAAATTGAATTATGTGAGAAAATCATATTTAATAAACTATAGCTACTAGATACTTAGTTGCTATAGATAAGTGGCACATAGAAAACTTAAAAATATCATAAATTTCAATGGTTTGGAAATAAAATGTACCTAGTTAAAATATAGATGAGATTAAATAAATATGTTTCTATGCATATATATATATATATTAATTATAAATCAGTATAATTAGAGTATTGCTTATATTTAATTTAAAAAAAAATATATCATTATGTAACATGCATACAATTAAATAACTTAAAATAAACAATTAACATTAAATAATAAACTTGCTTTACATTAAGATAATTGGTCTTTTACCAATTTAGAAACGGTATAGAGAATATATAATAATTATTGCGCTACTGCTTTATTGGTAAGACCACTATGGTGAAGAGTTGATTTTTTTTTTTATTGATGATCGTAAATAAAAACTTGTATGATGGTAAACGATCGTACAGATGGACATGACCAGCCCCAGTAGATCTGTCTATATCATCATAGCGTAACGATAAGGTAATATATGTTTCTCAACTAGCGTATTTATGGCTTTGACATCATTCAAAAATAAAACTTCACTTTCATAATAACTTCTCTGTCTAGTTTGTAGATTTTAATTTTTATGGAAATAAATAAAACTGTGGATACATTTAGTAAACGTTAAAAAAAATAACGATATAATTTTGAAATTCATTACATTTTAGTCACTGCTGTTGTCGGCATTACAGTTGTTTGATGTTTAGAGACATGGTGCATTGAGAAGGATTATTTTTAAATCCGTAAAGAGTTTCCTTAAAATTGGCTTTTGTAATGAATTTGTAAACAAAAATTATTAAAAGTTTGTAAGTTGGTAAATTATTATTGATGACCTGCAAAAAAAAAAAAAAAACTCATATGTATTATAATACGTTGACCAATTTAATAAATATAGATATCAAGAAAAATTTATTTAACAATTAAAATTAAAAAATCATAAAATATTATCACACATATCATAATGTGTCACAATAATGTGTAGTGCATAATAATATGGTAAAAAGCATTAGGTGTTATGGACTCCGAACTCATAAATTTAAGTTTAAAACTAGTTAAAACCGTATAGGTACTTAAAGTATCTTGAATTTACCTGTCTTTAACTTAATTTACTAGTTATTATATCTACTTGTATTCGTAGAGTCTGTGTTTTTTTGTTTTTTTTTTTTTTTACTAGCGAATCTATTATCAACATATTAGACATATTAGAAATGTATTGTACCACGATATTGCGATTTTAAGTTTGTACCTCAAAACATCGTCTACAAAAACCGAGAAAATAATTCACACAAATAATAACGTTGTACACACAACATGGACTCTGTTAGAAAAGTTCACGAATCGGATTATCGCGTACCTGACATGTTATATAGTGTGAACCGCGTACGAGTAAACTATATATTATTACATCATGATATTCTTAACGTTCGATGTTAGTTGACGGGACAGGAATAGGATTTTTGAGAGCGTCTATCCCCTTTTGCCGTGCGTTTCGATAACGACTCAATCGGTCGGAGAGCCACTTAACGCGGACTCCAAAACGATGATAAACGCTCAGATAATAATATTGTGATGAACGCGCCTAATAAATATAAATTCAATCTGAGGATTAACGCAACGGCGACGATTGCGGTACGCAGCCTGTGTTGGCCCGGTAACGTTTAACGCGTTGTTATTATAATAATATTTATCATACGTTAATAATAATGATATGTGAACGGGTGTCGTAACACGCGTGTATAATGGGTGTATTACTTATTAACAGTGACGCGCGTAACATTATAAACTTCTTCTTATTATTATTCGCCGTCGTTATTGCACGCGCGTAATGGTGTTTTGGCCACTGAGTGGATGGTTACGTCACGGGAGTGGCGTCTGGTCGAAAGGTGATTTTGTGTTGGGCGTATAATGCAACGATGTCGAAAAATAAAAACAAGCAATTACTATTATCATTTTTTTTTTTCTTTAATATTAATCGACTCGACGACGACTTCCGCGTGACTTCTAATTATGTACGAGTCCGCGTGCATATTATGCGCAAGCACTTGTCGTCGTCACCGTCGCGGTTGTCGGTTACAGTGTGCGTGAGACGCGTATGGCAACGATTAATGATCGATTGCCTCTCCGCCCCGGTCCGCCAACGGCGAAATGGCTACGTGATTAAATGTTTTGTTTTTCTTTTCGGTTTGGACGAAACGCCAACCATAACCTATGACGTGTTATATAATGCTCGTCGCGCGCATCTATATCGCCAGATATCGTCCGACGAACAAACCGGGTATCCGGTTACGTCGTCCGGACGTAAATTAAATTGTTCGGGTTTACAGCTAAGTCGTCATCCATGTCGCGTCTAAATGTTAAGATACGCACGGCTTTAGAAACTTTTAGGTAGATTGTGGTCACCGATTCCAACGACTAATCGGAATACGATTAAAGGCACACGACAACGAACGACTAAACCTAACCTACGCTGGTGACGTATAATACGTATTTTTCGTTTCTAATTTGTTTAATCATTTTTTTTATTTTTGTTTTGCCGTACAACGTCAAATATTATCGAAACGTTTACGACTCCCGTTTTAAATACACGCGTTGGCAGTTCCAACCGGATGAGTGGCAAAACAGTTAACGCTATAATGATATATTATATTTTGACATCGTTACGTTTTTATTCGCTGTAAAAACGTTAAACGCGCAACACGATTATTTAGGTACAATAGAATATTCGCGAATCGATAGGGCCAGTAATTCCGAAGTTTCGTTTATCAAACACTCCCCTCTGAGTTCCTAAAATGGATCTTTCAGTTCGAAACTAAGAAAAGTTATCAATAATAACGCATAAAACCAACAATCGACGCGAGATAAAACTGATAAGTATTGAAACACGTTTTATTGAAAATGTGTACTTTGCAAACTTCGCTTGCAATTGAATGTAATATTTTGAATAACGTATATATTAAGTTTAGTGACAGATAATGATAAAATAGTTGCTTAATTTTCAAAATATAATAGAAGTTATTAATCAAAAATTGTGTTATAGCGTTCCTCGTGAATAAATATTTTGTCTTATACTTAATCTCGATTTAAATCGAAATATCGAATAAAACCAATATAAAATTGAAAAATTATCTATAAGCTTAATAACATGTCAATCCACTTTAATATTTAAACTAACAAAGTAATTTCACAAATTTGGAACTGCTGAGCTCATAATTGTTATATTGTACATTCATTTTAACTACACATGGGGGCGTGCTCTTAATTGGGACCTTTGCATTATGTTTTTAATTAATTATATTATATTGACGGTTTTGGGTCAAAGACTGATTGTTAGTTTAAAACAGAATTGAAAAACAAATTAACATATTTCGCTATTCGTTATAAACTTATAATAATTTGGAAGATGGTTTTGTTCCACAAAACTAGTTTTAACTAAAAAAATTAGTGATGTAAATTCAGTGAAATCATCACTGGGCCAAGGTCCGACGAAATTAATACTTCTGGTATTTATTAAATCGAAGTGCAGATAAATGTTGTTCTTGAATTGCACGCCGTGGATAAAATCAGTATATCGAAGGAAAGATGCGACAAATTCCAAGAGAGTTACACAACATCGTTACGTAAAGTCAAAAAATAGACAGAGTGGTTGGAATGTGAAAAACTTAAAAAAACCTATAGTTTAGTAAAAAAATGAATAATCTTCCCTCGGATTTGTTGCAACTGGTTTCCACATTTTTTGATCAAACGATCGTATGCAACATTATTCTCCCCGATATTATGCCAAAAATAAAACCCGAATAACCCGTTTCAAAATCCGGGACGATGAAAAAAGTCACCGCCATCCGAGATGACCAGGTTTACTTTTTACCTATCAGGTAATAAAATTATCTAAGACTGTACCGAAAATCGTTACATAGTTCTACGGTCAATCATATTCTTCACTGTTCTATACATCTAACATCCAGTAATATGATATTATAATGCACGCATGCGCAATATGACACGCTCACTAAAGTGTTTAAATTATCGAAAGCAGTGTCAGATACAATCAATAGTGGTTTCGATAACTGCACATCGTTGAAAACAAAACAAAAAAAAAAATAACGTTCGTTTATTACACAACAGTATGTCTCGAGTTCGATGTAATAGATGTTCAATCAAAGTAGGTAGCTATCGCAAATATATGCCACAATGAGTTATCGGTTTTGATTACGAATTTACATACGGGATTTATCATCGACGCACATACTTGTAGAAACCCAACTGAACATAATATTATAATATAATAATGACAAGAACCGTGAACGTTGTTTGGCATAATGTTTGTGTATGATGTATCCGCTAACTGGACGTGGTCCAAAAGTCCGACTGTTCTCGCGTCACGATGCGACACCTCGCTGACCGCGGTATAGGTAATACTATTAGTAATAATAAAAAAAAAAAAAAACTTCAGCTATAAAACACGGTATTGACATACACAGCTTATCTTCCAGTGTATTATGATGTACATGCAATCGTCGGAACTCGTGGTGTCGGTTGGACATCTGTGATGAATTATAGGTGTAAAACAGTCATGCATATATTTATATAAATATATTATGCCAGTTCACCCGGGGGAGTTGGCACGCGTAGTGTAAAACGGTTCCGTTGTCACTAGTTCTGACGAAGGTTTTGGATTTTGTTTTTTTATAATAATAATATAATATTAACTTGTTCGGAACACTTGTACATGATATTTTTTCAGTAAGACGAGCGTGTTGCAGTCAAAAAGAATATACTAAATCCCAATTCCATAATCGCTTTAGCAAAAATATAATTATTTAAGTTTTTTCATGATCGGTTAGATCGATTTATTAACAAAACGACAACACGGTTATGATTAATTTTGAATAAAGTAATTTACACATATCTATATTAAAATTAAAGTAGACAATACATATGTACGTAGGATTATATTTAAAACGAGTCTATATAAAATTAGTCGAACTTTGTATTATATTAAATCGTAATTATTCGTGATTTTACATAGACTAATAATACGACCATCATTATAGAGTGTTGGGATTTATACTATGATTCCAGATTCTCCCATATTCGATCGAATCTTTAATTCTATACTTACTATCATGTATAAGCGCATCGCTATAATCAATAATTGTGTACGAGCTGTAACGCACTAACACAGGTTTTGTCGTCGTTTCCCAGGTGATTCACCATGAGCAGATTAGGCCAAATGTCGTTGGTACTGTTAGCAATGGTGGCATGCCACGTTTACGGTCAAGTGCAGACTAGCACGCCTTGTTCGCTGTCGTTCTACCGGTACTTGTTCAACTTGCCCGGCGAGCAGATCCGACCAAACGTACCGGAAGGCACGTACATGTTCGGCAAGCGGGTGGGTCCGGCTACACCGGAAGGTCAAGCCTCGGACGTCAAACCGTCCGTGCTTCAGGCTCCTCTGTACCTACCACCATCACCGACCACCACGACCACGACCACGACCACCACATTGAGACCGTCCACGTCGGCGCCTCTGTACATACCACCAGTGCAAAACAATTATTACCCGGCCGAGTCCATCAACACGGTGTCAGTGGTGCAGCCCGCTAAACCGGCATGCGAACACCCAGAACACCAGCACGTCGTGGACACCGGACTCTTGCCGCCGTACCCGACCGCTAAATTCCAGCCGCAGCCCACGTTCTTCGTGCCACGTTTCACAGCCCCGCCCCAGCCTCAGGTACCTGTAGCCATCAGCGACAACGAGATATTCGTCGAACAGCGGAAACCAGTGGCCGTGCAAAGGTTCGCCGTGCCCACGCCACCACCACAGTTCCTCCGTCCATACGTCGCACCGACACCAGCACCGACACCGGCTGAGAACTGCGACAAGCACGTACACGTGACCAGCACCACCACCACGACTACCACCACGACACCAGAGCCCGAGCCCAGCACCGAGACGTTGGTGGAGACTCGCCAAAATGAGATATCCATCATCCCGGAGGCCAAGCACCCGGCCGACTGCGGCCACAAGCAGCACAACGTGGTCATCGAGTCCGTGGGCGTACCGTCCACCGACTACGGCGTGGTCTCTGCTCCCGCCCCAGCCCCGTCCGCCGGTTATTCGTACGACCGACCCAGCGAACCGTTAGCGTATCCATCAAACGGTTACAATTACCCCAAGGCGAGCCCGTCGTTCGAGTACCCGGGCGCGTTTTCGGCCAAATTTGAGTCCGAATCGCCCAAGTCGTCTGCCAGTGGTACCGAAGATGGTGACCTGGTCATCCTCAAGGTCTAGAACATCCTAACCTCTCATGTGTAAAACAGGAAAAAAAATTAAAAAAAAATATATCATAAAAAATAATATTATAAATGACACATCAAACGCACGCACAACGCTTACTGGTGGGTATGTGTATGTGAGTGTGTGTTTGTGTTTGCCTACACAACGCCTCCTTAGTGTTAGCCATCTGCAAAAATTGGCAGTGTAACGCCGCCGTCATCATAACAGTATATTATATTATGTCATGCATCGTAATTTTATTATTATTAGTATTAGAATCATTAAAATATATATTATCGCATAAGATATTAGTATGCGCCTATCCGCAATTTAGACAATCGAGAATTTATTATATTATATTATATTGTTACCATTAGATTTATGAAAAAAGTTATATAGAACGATACTATTGAATATTTTATTATACTGTTCAATATTTTTTTTTATAAAAATACTGTATACATGTATTACCATTTTAATGTATTAATCACGTAAATTGAATGTATTATTATTATTTTTTTTTTTTTTTTTGTTCATTATTTTAATTTAATTTTATAAAATACACTTTAGTCAAGTTTTTTAAAGTTGAATTGATTTATTTTTTCTACATGACTATACGGTATATTTGAATATTGCATATTTTTTGTAACGTTTTAGTGTTAATAAACTTTTCTGAGTCTGCTATAACTCCATGTGTACATTATAATTTAATGTATATAATAATATTATGAACATACTAATTTAAAAAAAACTCAAGTTTATACTATAGTAGGTAATACTAAAAATATAAATAAATTAATGTAGCTGTGAGCCATAATTATAGTCGAGATAATAATAAAATAAAATCTCTTTAGTTAAATTGAATACAAATTTAACTTATAATGGTATATATATCATCGTCTCAGTGTAATCAATTTACAATGAAGCAATACAATTTAAAACGACCCAGGTGAATTTACATATTTCCTTCAAGTAAATTTATTGACTCAAGAGAATTTACTAGTTTTAAAAACTGGGAGAATGTGCCACAGAATCGGCAAAAATAACATAAAAAAAATATTTATTGAATACAATTTAAAATCGAGTATGGGATATTTTTTTAAAAAGTTCCAAAAAATAAATTCTATAATTTATATGATTGGATTTGGATAGGTAGATGAAGTCATGGTAATATTAAAACTTTACTTTACTTCATAAAAATAATGAAATACTATGGTCTATGTTAGAATAAATTGTTAAAAAGTGTATATTCCTTTATTGAATTATAAATATGGTGATGATTGATGCATAATATGAAACTTTGTTTCGTAACGAATAATTCAAAATGTACTCTGTCAGTTTTAGAAAAGTATTGTAGTATATTTAGCTTGATTATTTTTTTTAATAACTTTTTTTAATTTAAACTGTATGTATAAAATAATTGAAAATATATGATGTTAATTTCTTAATACATTTATATAAAAAGAAAAAATGTGCATTTATTTTAAGTGTATGCTTTGGATACAAATGCTATCATAAGTAGTAAATGTTAGTATAAATTATAGAAAGATTTATGTGGAAAAGTTGGGGAACTTAAACTACCTATTTTAGAGATGTCTTGAGGCAACGCGCCTTATTTTACCTTTAAATGTGTAATCATACTGATTTGTGTATGTAACAGAGTACAGTAGTGTGTGACGTAAAAAAGCTTGTTATTTAGAATTATGATATAATAGGTATCGTTTGTTTGTACATATAATTAAATCTATAAATCGACTTAGATACAATCATATAAAGTCATAAATTAGTATGTTTTAAGACTGTTCATAAAAATATGACTAGCTGAATTACCCGACTTCACCCATGTGTAGTTTGTACTTTCTTAAAATTTTACTTAATTTTATCAAGTGCTAGTAGTAGTAGTAGTAGTAGTAGTAGTAGTAGTAGTAGTAGTAGTA